TTGGGCCCAATTTTGAAGTACAGTAGAATAGTAGGATCAGCTGACCTTGCTAATCTACCCTTCCTCAGATTTGGGCCCCAATGATAGGCGCCGCGTCGTCCAAATTCGCCACGTACTTCACCGCGTAATTTGCCGCGCGCACGCTCGGACGCACGACTTGACACACACCCTTGTTTTTTGTCGTGAGCTGCGACGTGTTTTCGCCCCTGCGGATCATACAGCTGAGCTTGCGCAACCAATGCTTCCGCGATGAATCTTCCCACTTGACTACGCCGTACATTGCTTTTCTTCTAGTGCTTCCCGATTTCTAGTGCAGTATGAGTACTGCCCCAGAATGCTCTCAATTAGTCATTGAACCATCAGTGCAATCAGAAAGAAGATGGAAGCTTCCCGTAGTTTACACAGCCGAGGTAAGGTGTTTCTACGAGGTTTTCTTTGCTGTGTAATGGTACTTGTTACCCCTCTTTTGCAGGTTTCGAGTTGTTGTGCCTATCTTTTATTTGTTGCTCTTGCATTCGCCACTTGCAACAGCATAATTGAAACTTCAATGCAAAACAAGTCTCTCTCTGATGCACTTGCTGTTCCCAAATCAGCTGATTACGCCATCTCCATATATTCATTAGTGGTTATTGTAAGCCTTGGGGTTGTTATTGGATATATCACACAACTCTGCCGCCTGCCAAGTCTTTTGGGTATGTTTTTTTTACATACCCTTCTACTTTTTGTCTACTTTAGTGTTCATTTATCTTTGCTAAAACAAGAGACAGCAAATGAACTCAAATACATGCACACCTGCATGGGTGGGGATGTAGTTAGAGGGAGCCACTCGCTTCCGCTCCCTTGTCTGCGCAATCTCAAAGGCTGCTTTCATAGTCCACGATTTGGCCCNCGAGCGAGCGAGCGACCGACCGACCGACCGACCGATCGAGCGAGCGAGGGAGTGACCGGGGGTTTACTCATCCTGCGGTTTCGACCAAGATTCAGTTGTAAACAAGGGACAAGCGCCGCCCCGGTCGCTCACTCGCTCGCGGACCAAATCGTGGATTATGAAAGCAGCCAGTAAGGTAGTATTCCGTTGGCCGATTCCTCTATCAATCCAACATTTCACATGAGGTCAGGTTTTCCCTTCGTCTCCCTGTCAGGCATGGGCTGTATATACCATCCCTGACACAGAATTGGTTCCATGTACATGATAACATGCTTGCCTAGCCGGGGTGTCATCCTTCCCTGCTCTCTAGCCTTCAATTTTGGAGACGCAGAGCAGAGTGAACGAGGGCTCGTGATGCAATGCTAACCGCGTCAGCTAGAATTTACGGGTATGTGTCACCTCGTGCGTACGAGGTGAAGCAAATTGCGCGGCGAAGTTGGAAAGGAAATGTGTTGTTCATAAAATTCAAACCTTTCCATTCACGGTAAACTTTTGTAGGACTAACGTGCCGTACCGAATTTCCGTTTCTGTTTCTCTGGCTGATGGACACAACACACAGAGACTGTTCCTCCGTCTGCCCTCCCCCCTCCCCCCCCCCCCCCCCCATTGTTAGA